GGCCAACTGGCTTAGGGACTGCACCCAGAGAGTGGTGGTGGATGGTTCCTTCTCAGCCTGGAGGGAGGTGGGCAGTGGGGTCCTGCAGGGTTCAGTCTTCGGACTGATATTATTTAATATCTTCATCAGCAATTTGGACAAGGGCGTGGAGAGCACCCTCTCCAAGTTTGCTGATGATACCAAGTTATGGGGCGAAGTTAGTACACCGGAGGGCAGGGAGCAGATTCAGGCCAACCTGGGCAGGTTGGATCAATGGGCAGAGAGAAATAGGATGCAATTTAATGAAGATAAATGTAAGGTACTCCACCTGGGAAGGAGGAATCTCCAGCACACCTATAGGTTGGGGAATGTCCTTCTCAGCAGCTCAGAGGCAGAGAGGGATCTTGGAGTCATAATTGACTCCAAGATGAACATGAGCCGGCAGTGTAACGAGGCCATCAACAAGGCCAATCGCACCTTGTTGTGCATTAGCAGGTGCATGACTAATAGATCAAAGGAGGTGATGCTCCCCCTCTATGTGGCACTGGTCAGGCCGCAGTTGGAGTACTGCGTCCAGTTTTGGGCGCCACACTTCAGGAGGGACGCAGAGAATTTGGAGAGGGTCCAAAGGAGGGCCACTCGCATGATTAGTGGCCTTCGTGATAGACCCTAGGCGGGGAGGTTGAGAGAGCTAAATCTCTTCAGCCTTCACAAGAGACGGCTGAGAGGAGATCTTGTGGCCGCCTATAAATTTATTAGGGGAGGTCAACGGGGAATAGGGGACGCGCTGTTTACTAAGGCCCCCCAGGGAGTGACCTAGGAATAACAGGTGTAAACTAGTTGAAAGTGGATTTAGGTTAGATATTAGGAAGAAATTTTTCACAGTAAGGGTGGCCAGGATCTGGAATGGGCTTCCAAGAGAGGTGGTGCTATCACCTAGGTTGGAGGTCTTCAAGAAGAGGCTGGATAGTCACCTGACTGGGGTCATCTGACCTCGGTCCTCTTTCCTGCCGGGGCAGGGGGTCAGACACGTTGATCCATTGTGGTCCCTTCCGACTCTACAATCTATAAATCTATGGTTTGATGTAAGGAAACTCATCACAATGCTGGGATCCTGTCTTAGAACCTCCTGATGTAAAAGCAGCTTGAGGAGGCTAAGTTCTACACATGTGATCTTGGCAAATAAATATAGGGAAGGTGATTTGGTATGGTGGAGACCAACTATGGGGCCTTACCAATGCCTTGTTTTTTCCTTCTTCGCTTTTTTCTTATTACATTAAAAATTAGGTTAAAATATTTTTTTCTAAGCTTTCAAAGTCAAGTCTAGAAAAGTTACAGGTGAACAGGATATTTCAATTCTGGTGTTTGGTCCTTTTGGGTATCTGTGTTGTCATGATCTTTCACTGAATTTCATTTTTTTTACTTTGGTCTTTTTTCCAAAGAGCCCCTGCCTCATTCATTGTACGGATTAATTCAATAAGCAGTTATTTTATTCTTTGATTATATTGCCTCCAGCCTTATTTACTGAACGCTTTTCAAATACAAGAATTATTGGTTTTCTCATGGGCTTTTCTTTGGAGTGATCGCATATAGCATCTTCAGATATGCTAATTTATCCTGTGAGAGATGGCAGAGTATATTCTCATAATCTCTATTTTATAGATGGGGAAGCGGGATGCAGAGAAAAATATCAGAAGTATTTGTTAGCTTTTGGTGCCCAGTTCAAGACAGCTAGGACTTGATATGAGACTTTTTAAACGACTACTGAATTTTCCAAGCTCTGATTTAAATTTATTTTTAACTGGGACATCAGCACTCATTTAAACTAGACTCACTTGAAAACACACAGTTTGACTATGATAAGTTAAAGTGACTGGACTCCCATCATTCGAGAACACTGTCATATAGAAGCTGGGATAACTGGACTTAACCTTGGTTGGGCACCATTTGGGCACTTTAACCATAAGACCACTCCTTCTCTTCTAGCAATCCCCTACCTCATTCATGCACACCTTCCAGCCTTATAGTAAACAAAGCAAGTGTTCTGCAGATAGTTTCTCCTTCATAACATAAACCTGACTACTCTCTGGAACAAATTTGTCCCCTGCTCTAAATTATATTGAAATCCTCTGGAAAAATTAGTGTATGATGATATGATTAAAGATGTGCATGCAAATAAGGTTGTACAGACAGACCTAATAGCAGAATTTTCTTACACTATGCCCTGGTTCGAAGCCTGCGTGTACTAAAGTGCCCCCCTCCCTCTCCAATCCCAAGAAGAAGCTCACCAAGTTATTTTCTTCAAAATGTATTTATTAAAACATGTACAAAATATATTTCCCTTAGTCTTTTTTTCTGGGAAAAGCTGGGAAATTTTGGCCAGAGTTAATAAAATTCAGGTTGATCCAAATGCCTGGCATGGAAAACTTTAGCCCAGATCCTTAACATTTGGCAAAATTATATGCCACTGAAAACTGGGTATTTATAGTAAAAAATGGTGGGCAGCCTTAATTATAGACAAGGCTGGTAGCACCACTTATTCATCCATAAGTTTATACCTCCCACTGATAACTAAATCTTGTGTTTCCCCAAGGAAGACTTCAAGTTAATTTAATATGGGTACTGTCTGGAGTGTGTGGGGTGCTCTGCTTTTCTTAGGTGCTGTGTCTCTCCTTCCCCCCCCCGTCCTCCACTTCCCTGAATTTTTCTGTTATGAATTGCTGTGGTGTTGAAAGTCATTGCCGGTACTCCCTGTTTCATCATCTGACTAGGGCAAGTAGGTTGCACTGCATTTTATACATCAGAGTACTTATATCTGCAGCTATTAAAAATAACAGGCATGATTGTCCAACCCTTGGGTATAGCAGTGTAAGAGAGAGAGTATGGGGAGAACTAACACACTGCTGTCCCTGGAACTTACTTGTTGATTGAAGGCATCTTTGAGTTGGGATTACTGCATGTCTGGAAAACCATGTGGTAGCACCGAAGCATGTGGTGGTGGCAGCAGCAGCAGAGCATGCTATGGTGGCCCCAGACCCCACTACCACATGCCCCGTGCTGGAGCCGGAGTTGCTGCTACCACATGCTGTTTGACATCCCTTGCATAAATCGTTTGAATGTGTATATCAAGTCATCTGGTTATCGTTTAATCTATATTCCTGCCCAAGTTAGTTCTTCAATATGACCAATTGCCATGACTCTAAAGGTGTTTAAAAGATACTTGCAAAGTGGCCTTTTTTTCTTGGTTTACAGTTAATTCTTGTTGTCATACCTGTGTTAGAAGTGTGAAAAAAATCTGCTTTTTATCTGGGTTTGCTGTGTTGGAAAATCTTAATATTGCATGCTGTTATACCAGTCTGTTTCCCTTCCCTCTCCCTCACCAAATCTTTTTTCTGGCAAAACATTACAGAGAGGACATATTTTTTCCAGCGATATTTTCAGGGCATTATTCACATCTCTACTAGGGGCTTTGTTGATCAAGCTACACCAGAAATATCTCATAAATGTAGATAAACCTAGAGCAAATAAGAACTGATTTGTAAGCCTTGAGCATAATGTTTTCTCCTTGTAGTTGTATGCTATGGATCTTGATTGTGTAGGAGTATTTTTTTTAAATTAACAGTCAGTTTTAAGCTTCATTCATCCAATTCAGGATAAACAGATGCCTGGAACTGAATAATTCTCCATTACTTTAATTAATGTTAAGAGTTAACATTAATTATACATTAATATATAATTCTGTGTCTCTTCTTTTCCTCTTCCCCTCACTCCCTACCCTCTACTTTTTGCAAATACACAGAGCAATAGAAAAACTGAATGGGTTTCAGCTTGAAAATTATTCCCTGAAAGTTGCATATATCCCTGATGAAATGGCAGCACAACAACCCCCACAACAGCATCCACAGGGGAGGCGTGGATTTGGACAGAGGGGTCCTCCAAGGCAGGGATCACCTGGTGCAACTACGAGGCAGAAACCACAATCAGATGTTCCACTGCGGATGCTGGTTCCCACACAGTTTGTTGGAGCCATTATTGGGAAAGAAGGAGCAACTATTAGAAATATCACAAAGCAGACACAGTCCAAGTGAGTTATGCTACAAAACTGTCCTGCACGTTAACTTGATCTTTGTTTTTGTTGACTTTTCTCTCAGTGCAATACAAAAACTGGCTTTCTTCTTCATTTCTCTCCTTCCCTTCCCCACCCAATTGTCGGAGACCAGTGAAGTCCATTTGTGGGCTTGCTGAGAACTGTGTATTTCTGCTCTCAGACCCACTTTTCTCTCTTTTGTGATGAAGGCATCTACAGCTGGGTTTATATCAGTAGTATAAACTTAGATCTTCCACTAGGTTTGATTGCGGTTGTTTTGGGGGCGTTTTTTAGTTGTCTCTTCCCTTTCCTCTGTGGTCTTCAAAGAGGTTCTTGGGAAAAGGCTAGTTTTAGAAGTGCAACTTTTGGTTGGGATAAGGATAAGAATTTGATTTCTCATTAAGAACCTAAGTTGTCAATAAGAACCAGGCCTTGCCTCCTTTTTTCTGGAATGCTCTAGGCTAGGGCTGGGTGATTATTTAGGCTGGAGGGCCACTTTGAGGTTTGGTGAGCTCTTGAGGGACACCCCCTTCCCTTTCCCCTCAGCCAGGTCAGACTGGCATCAGAACAGGAGCAAGAGTATAAGTCTGTTTGGGTCTATAGCATGCCCCAGCCTCCCCCTCTCCCCCAATATGGAATCAGCACCTGCCAGCTGCATCTGCAGCTGGGGGCAGGGGAGGGCAGACGATGGAGCTTGGCCACAGGCCTCTATACTGCCCTGCCCTGTCCTTTCTGCAGGGGTCCTGGTACACGTGCACACCATCTCTTCCCCATAGCTATCAGGCACCCTGATGGCAGGGAGGGTGAGACAGCGTGGAGGCCCATGGCTAGGGTCCATCTGCCACTGGCAGGGGCTGGCCTCTGCTGGTGTTGTGGGGGATGCTGGGTGGAAGTAGCCCTGAATGGCAGCTGGAGCTGCTGTGGCCCAAGCGCGGTTTACCCAGGGCCAGCTGCACAGTGCCAGGCAGGTGGACAGGGCTGCTTCCACTGAGCATTCCCTGTCATGCCTAGGAGATGCATTCTGGACCTGCAGGCCCTGGGCACTGCCCACCAGCAGAGGCTGGGGCCTGAGTGTGACTCGCTTAGAGCCCATGGGGCTGGACTGTCTCTCAGGTGCCACAGGGGGCACTGGGTGGAAGCATCCTCACCTGCCCACCGAACACTGCATGCTGCCAGAGGAGTTTGTTTTCTCTTGTTCTTGGGTGATTCTTGTCAATCAATTCTGCTGCAGTTGAAGTTACATACCATATCATAACAGAGTTTGGGAAATGTACAGAAGCCAAAACCAAGCTGTTAAATGAGCTGAGTAGCCTTTAGCAGTGGGGTCTGAACATTAAAGGGAAGTACTGTGCTAATAAATATAAATCTCAACAGAGAGGACATGTTCAAAAGAAAGCTTGGGGTATAAACAAATAATTTCTTCCAGCATATCAGTTATTCCTCTTTTGTTCTTAGTATGATATAATATATTGTCACATAACCAAACAATGAGAGTGCTGCAGGCAAGATGTGGAAAAAGGCTGGAGGTGGTCAGGAAAAGTATCCAGGTTCACAATAAAAAAGAATAACTAAGAATACAGTGGTGTTTACAAATTGGTCAGGTATATCTTAATTTGGTATCTAACCAGACTTCAGTGGGGAGAAGGACACATATTCACTTAAGTTTCTTGTTCTCATTTTAAATGAAGTGCATGCTGTTACGTGAACCAGAAGGAATATTGGTATCAGAAAGAGTTGGAAAATGGAAAGGAATTCTAGAGAAGTGCAGCACAGGTAATTTAGGTGTGTTAACTCCTATTTAAAGATTTCAAACAACCATAGTTTTGGCACAAAGGTAAGAAGAGCCTGGGAGTAATAAGTCTTTTGAAAGCTGAAAATGGCCAAATCTTTAGTGCAGTGATTCTCAACTAGAATGCCACAAGATTCTTTTAAGGGTAAATTGCAGTACTAAGACTGTTAGATATGTGAACACCTACACAATTTGCAAGATAATCTTGGAGATTTCAAATAAGAATCCACAATGTCAAAAATATCCAGTCCTGTAGTCTTTTGGAGTTCTTTGCAACAGAAAAATTGCAATAGTCAAAAAATGCTTAAAACCTGAGAGTTTGTACTTTCTGAAAGGTTTCTTGAGACTGAGTGGGTTGAGAACCACTACTCTAGTAGTGATACCATTGCAGGTCAGCAGTAGGTTTTGTTATTATTGGACTCACCCTTTTCAGCATGAGGAACTAGACCCTCATGTTGGGGAAATAATGTTTTGAAGAAGAAACAGAGTAACATGAAACAAGAGCTAAAATGAAAAAGGAGGGCAGACATGAGAAGACATAAGTCTCTCAAGAGAAGTGCTAGAAATCTCTGATACTGGAGACTTTAAAAACTAGCTTTGCCAAATCCCTTCTCATCTTGTAGCAAGCAGTCATTTATTGGGAGCTGTGGGTTTAGATGATTTAACATCTTTTCTTTCTAATTTTTTAGATCATTGGTGGGCAGGGAACAAGAGGGCTGGAATGCTACATCCTGCTGCTGACTTAAGGATTCTTTTATTAGTTTATATAAAATATTAAAAATATTTGGGATAGAATTTGGTGGTACAGGGGAAGTCCACTTGCTAAATTGTTAAGCCTCAATCAACAGAATTGGAATATGTATCCTATTTTATTAAAGGATAGATAATGTTAGAGTGAAAGTTTGTAGTTTTTAATAATCACTTGTATACTTTACCTTGTTTCTTTGGAATCCAAAAGATTTATAATTGGATTTATAATTGGGATTACTTTATCTAAAAATATTCACACAGTAAATAAATGCTTACATATAATGGTTTTTTTTCCTTAAAGAATTGATATTCATCGTAAAGAAAATGCAGGTGCTGCAGAGAAACCAATTACCATCCACTCTACTCCTGAGGGCTGCTCAACAGCTTGCAAAATTATCATGGAGATCATGCAAAAAGAAGCTCAGGATACGAAATTGTGAGTAAAAGGGTGTTTAATTACAACATTAATTCCATATCTTCTGTTTGGAATAGGTAAAGGTGAATCTTATATGTCTTGTAACAGCATTAAATGTAAAGTTTAAGGAACTTCATTTTTATACTTGGTACCAGTCTACTTGTACAGCTTAAAAAACCCCATGCATTTCTAGCCATTGGTTGTGCATTTTGGTTGGGATAAGTTGGATAATTCAACAACATTTCTGAGACATCGCAGTTGTTAACAGCAATACTTCAGCACCTTGAGTCTGTAGTATTTATTCAGAGAATTAATTGCAGTAAGTCTTGTGCGCTGCTTCTGCTCTCAAGTAGTGAGGTATAACTAAGTGGAAGTAATGCCCCAGTATCTGAGGGCAGAATTTGCCCATCACATAAAAATCTATCTCCTGGTATCCAGCAAAGAAAGATTAAGATTACAGGTGCACCGATACTTCGGTCCATATCATATCGACACTGATAAAGGGAAAATTGACAGTATTGGCAATTGGCTTTTTTTGGGCTGATGTGGCTGATAATGTTGTTGATAAATGCTACATACATACGCGCAGATGCATCAGGCTGCCTGCTGTGTGCTCAGGGCTGGGGCTGCACCGGCCTCTTCTCAGCAGGGGCCTGGCCCAGGGCTGCACTCAGGGCAGGCAGTGGTGGCACTGGAAGGGGGGTGGTCTGTGGGGTGACTGGTGAATTTTGTGGTGTCTGTAGCTTGCCCTGTAGCCCACCCTCCCAGTGCTGCAGCCACCTACCCTGCCCAGCCCGAGTTCAGCCTCAGCCCAGCCCCCACACTAGGAGGAGGCTGGCACAGACCTCAGCCCGCAGCAATAGCCTGCCCTTGCCCCATGCACAGATCCGGGCGGGGCACATGTCTCTCATACCTCCTTTGGGGTGCGTGCAGTGGTGGGAGCTGCCCTCCTGCGCCCTCTGGACAAACCATCCACAGCTCTGTGTCACATACTGCCCTGGCTGTGCAGCACTTGCCCCTGCCCCAGCCCCACCCCCACTCCCTCCCTCACCATGGGGGCCTTAGTCTGCCTCCGCATACCCCTTCCCTCCCCCATGCCCCTTCCTCCCAACAGACCTCCCAGCTGGACACTGCCAGGACTCTGGCTGCCAGGCTCTGGACTCTGTGCTGCCAGGCTGCATATTGGCATTCGGATCATTATCAGCCAATATGGCTGGTCAATAATTACCCATTGGTATTGACTCAAAAAATCTTTATCAGTACACCCCTAATTAAGATATACCAAGTTAATTGAACAAATGTTCCTCTTAGTCTCCATTTCAGAAGTAATTTGTGTGTTTATTTGAAAGGTATTGTGCCTCTAAAATTTTGTTTAATTTTGTAACACCTATTCTATGTGACCTAACTTCAGCCTGGATGTGCAGACTTAATTTTCCTCTTAACTTGAATCTCGGTCATGAATTTTTCTGGGTAATCTTTAAAAGTGGTTAAAGAAGAAAAAAAGTAATTTTCTCTTCTAATTCTTGCAATTTCCTCTTCTAATTCTTTCATTTTTCCTTTATGAGTAGATTAACAATGATTCACAGATGCAACACTAAAGCTTAAATGCTGTTAAAATGGCCTCAGTCACTAATGGAGTAGACCAAGGGCTTTCAACCTTTTTGAACAAGTGAACCCCTTCTGGTGGCAGCTGAGGGAGAGGGGGTGATGTTCATATGCTGGGGGTTGGGGGGGGGGTGCTCACACATGGCGGCCACCACCCACTGCCCCGTGCTGCTGCCACGCCCCACTTTCCCATAGCCAGTCACATGTACAGCTCCACGGGCTGCTGACTGGCCTCACGCCTCACCAGTTGTGCTGCCCATCAGCCTTTTGAGCTGCTGGCCGGGCAGCACCTGTGCAGCCTGCAGAGGGGTGCCACTGCCCTCACCCCTCCCGCCCTGGCCCTGTTCCTGGGAGGCGGCAGCACAGAGCAGTGGGGGGCAGGGGCCACCACTGTGTGTGAGCCCCTCTGCCCACATCCGTCAGCAGAGGGGCATTGCTGCCCTCATACCCACCCGTGCGTACCCCATATTACCTTTCCAAGTATCCCTAGGGGTACACATATCCCCAGTTAACACCCCCCCATAGTAGACAATGAAAAACATTAGAAACCTCCTTTTTACTCTGTTAATAAATATGTAATGGCCTAATGTATTGAAAGAAAAACTAGCGTTTTCCTTAAATGGCCTTTTGCATTTAAAACCATACCTTTTCCAATTGCTTTTTAATTGTGGACATATGTCTAAATTAATCTAACTTTTATTACAGTACAGAAGAAATTCCCTTGAAGATCTTAGCACACAACAACTTTGTTGGCCGGCTTATTGGCAAAGAAGGAAGAAACCTGAAGAAAATTGAACAAGATACAGATACTAAAATCACAATATCTCCGTAAGTTTTTGGTTTAACCTGTCAATGATCTCTGACAGGCAGAAGTATGGGTTATGCAAGTTTGGTGTATTACTATACACTCATAAGACATGCACCTTTTTTGGGAAGGCAGAATGAAGAAAAAAAGTTTTTTTTGTTTAACCAAATTATTCAGAATCGTTTTTCTCATTTAAGACATGCACCCCAATTTTTGATGACTACTTTTTCTGGGGAGAGTGGTGTGTGAGTAAATAAGGTGCATCTTAAGGCTGAAATGCAAGACAACGAGAGCCTCATGGTTTCCAGTAGTGGTTAACAAATTCTGATCTCTGTCCGCCATGCCAAAGTATTATAGGTTGGAATATGTTTCATAGTGAAGCATAATGATTGACTTCCGGCTGCAATATATCTCATTTCATGTGATCTAGTTGCTTGCAAATATCGAAGAGGAAACAAAGTGTATAGTGGTCTGTAAGTTTTCTTTTCCCACTCTTTTTCTTCATGAAAGACTCCACTGCATTTCCAAGTATCTGAAGGCACCCTATAACGTATCAGAAATCTGTGTGCTGCTCAAATTGCCATAAAGGTTTGCAGTTCATTTTCAAATGTTCCATTCATTATAATCTAGTTGTAAGAAATTTGTTTAAATAAGTTAATTCCAAGTGCATCTCAGCGATTTGAAACATTGCACTAATCCCATTTCAGTTTTCTGTGAATCATCTTTGGACCTTGTTACACCTTACGTTGTGAGCTGCACAGATGTTGATCGGTGTTCGTGTAGCTGGAGTTTGGAGCAGTCACAGTCTAGAAAGCTTCTCTGACTGTCCCCCACCTGCACAGCTGTGACTTGCCACTAGAGGCCTGGGAAGCAGGGGCAGGACTAGGAGCTATAGTTGCGAGTTGCATCTAGAGGGCTGGTGAGCCAGGACAGGCTTCTATCCCTGGTTTATGGGAGGACTTCAGCTTGGGTGGCACATTTGTGGGGAGCAGGCACACTTTAATGGAACAGGAGCTAGGTAGTGTGGATCAGAGATAATCCCACTTTGTAGCAGCATAACTTTGACCCACATAATGAGTGCTTAACACTACTTTAATGTGCAGACAATCCAGGGGTTAAGAGCTCCAGGAGCTGCCCAAAATTACTGTGTAACAAGGCCCTTAGAGTTCTGTTGTAAATTGATCTTGTACAATCCATTGCTGGTAGGCAAACCTGACACTTTCAGATGTCACAGGCTTCCACCGATAAGCCTTGATTAACATCTGCTGTTTGGAGTGTAATTAATTGTACTTGTGTTTTGTTCCTAGATTACAGGATTTGACACTCTATAACCCAGAGCGGACTATTACAGTTAAAGGCAGTATTGAAACCTGTGCCAAAGCTGAGGAAGAAATAATGAAGAAAATCAGGGAGTCCTATGAAAATGATATTGCTGCTATGAATGTGAGTTGTCTAATGGCATGGTCATTTTTGGAAGCGTATTTCTGTATGGGTCCTGATGTCTGCATTTATTTATCTCTTGTGTAATGGGAAATAGTAACAAATTATATCAATCTTGAGGAACTAAATGAGAATTTCTCTCCTTTTCCTGTTGTGGAAACGTGAAAGTATTTTAAAAAATTGTGTTACTAGGATTTCCTCTACACATTACATTTATGCCATGATTAGTTGTGGCATAAATGTCCAGGGTACTACATAAAATGGCAGATCAGCCATAAAAATGTTTTACATAAAAATCTACATATAAAGTCAAACATTGTTATGGCTGGTTTGTATGATGCTTTAAGTTGAACTTAGTGCAGGTCTGAGCTGGGCTGACAATCAGTCAATTGTCAGCTCCAGCCATGGGGCCACACCAGGATCTTAAACAGGCCCTGGTACAGTTCAGGGCCAGGGACAGCAATCAGCTGCAATGCATGTGTAGCATGGCAGGAAGTGTGACTGTCAGGATCAGGAATCAAATCCAACAGTGCCTTTAAATGAATGTGTGGCAAGTTCCCAGATCAGCTGGGGACAGCAGCAGCAGAAGGGGAGTACATTTTCACCACTGCACCCCTCTGTATCCACCCTGGGATGGAGCCCATTTGTCCAAAAAGAAGAGGTTACAGTTTCCTGATACTATTCTCCTTAAACATGTGGGGGTGGGGAGGTGGCGGGTGTATTTTAAATTGTATATTTTGAGCTCATCAAGGCAGGAGTGCTACAGATCGCTGGACATAAGAGCTAGGAACTGAGCCAGAGGTTTGCCCCTTTTGAAGCCACACTAGATCAAGCTTCAGGGGGCCCTTCAGGAGAGGGAGAGTGAATAAGGCTTCTTCTGGAGGAATCCTAAGGTAGAAGTTTCCCTTGAAACGAGCATGATTCAAGACAGATGCATCCAGCATTTCCTGAAGCGGGGGACACTAGGGAGCTAAGCAAGGGAGTTGGTTCACAAGGTGGGGAGGGGAACCAAAGCACTGTCCTCCCCCCCCCCCCCCCCCCCCCCCCTCCCCCCCCCCCATTGACATCACTGTGGTTACCTCTGGGCTACCTAGGAGCAAGGGGTCAATCCTGCTTTGCTTCAGCTGTGGGCCGTGGGGAGCAACTGTATGGGGTGCCAGGCTCGGCTGGGGACAGTGGCATTAGGACATAGTTTCTTTCTTCCAGCTTGTACTTCCAAAACATCCTCTCTCTGTCCTCCTCATGGTGTTCCCCTCTGTCCAGGAGCAGGTGCTGGAAGGACGAACCTGTGAACCACTGCTGCTGTCCTCAGCCAAGTCTGGCTTCCCATACAGCCATTCCCTCCAGTGTGGGGCTGGAGCAGCACTGGGGCTTCCTCATGCCTGTGTCAGCTGGGGACAGCAGTGGCAGTGTGCCTGTTCTTCCTTCCACTGCCTGTTCCTGGCCAGTAGAGAGGAAGCGGGGCACTGGCAGGCAGGGAGCAAGTGCTGGAAGGAGGAACCTGCTTACCTCCTCTACTGTCCCTTGCTGAGCCTGGCACCTCGTGGGGAGCTTTGGGGCTCCCCCTGTGCCTAGATCAGCTGGGGACAGCAGCAGCAGCAGGAGGGTACATCAGCACTGCCACACACCTCTACATCCACTCTTGGGATGAAGCCACTTAGTCCTAAGACAGAGGTGGCCAACATCCAGCATGTGTACCACAAGTGGCACAGGCAATTTCTGTGTGTGGCATGCAATAAATAGGAGAACAGGAGAGGCAGCAGTGACAGCTGGGGCAGAAAGCAGAACAGCAGATCAGGCAGGGAGCAGAAAGCAGAGCAGCAGACTGGACCAGGAAGGGGATTAGAGTGGCACCTGGGGAGGATGCACAACTAATATAGGGACACTTACCAAAAGGTTGGCCCTCACTGTTTTAAAAGATGGTTGGTTTTCTAGCATAAAGCATAGTGGCATAAAGCACAGTGGTTACTGTCTTTGTACTGCACCTCATTCTGAATATGGGAGGTTGGCCTAATACGTGGCTGTTTCCCCTCCCATCTTATGGTACACTTCACAGAAAGGTAGTCTCAGTGAATGACTCATTTCTCTGTTCATATGAGAACCAAACTTTTAGGACTATCTGCCTAAGTGAATATATTGGGTTATAAATTTGAAATCTTGAGTCCTCAAGAATAAACGTTTAAGAAAAAAATTGGCATCTTTTCAAAAGACTTTTAGTATACTATTCTAAATAGTATTTTGATTGAGTTAACTAACTTGTATTGAAAAGCTGAATAATTCCTTCTGCCTTTGCAGCTTCAAGCACATTTAATTCCTGGATTAAATCTGAATGCCTTGGGTCTGTTCCCACCTTCTTCTTCAGGAATACCACCTCCTGCAGTGAGTGTTGCATCTGCTGCTGCTGCTGCTTCGTATCCGCCATTTGGGGTAAGAGAAGCTTGTCTTGGGCTTCAACAGCAGTAAAAAATAACAGCTTACTATTACTAGTACTGCTCAAAGATAAGGAAGATCAAGGTGTATCAACATTTTGGTAGCGTTGTTCTGTCCTGTTGTACCATGCGGGGTTTATTTACTGAATGTTTTCATCTGATTTGTGTAGTTTATACATATGAAGTGCCTCGGGTGGCTGTAGATGAGTACATGCACTGATTGTTTGTTGAAACTTTCAATGAAATCAGACATGAGATATTTGGAAAACCTCTTTTTCTAGACATGATAAAAACTGTCTTTTACTTTCCTGCAGAAAAATAAGTGCAAGCTTGCTTCTAAATACATTTGAAAAAACATTTACTCAAAGGTTATAAGAAATTGAATATCATATCCCTTCTAATCTGAAGAAAGTGACTCTTTTGATAATATAAGTATGTTTAGCAAAAATCTGTTTTTTGTTGTTGTTTTTAATGCAGTATCTTTTAATATATGGAATGGCTGTTTGGTATGTCACAACACTAAGTACATAGCTGTTGGGTTATAGGTAGAGGTGCACTGATCTATTGGTCCGATATCAGATCAGTACCAATATAAAGAAAATTGATTGTATTGGAAATCGGCCTGACATGGCTGATTTAATTTGGCCGATAAATGTCCGTGCATGCGTGCAGCCGCAGCGCAGCACGTAGGTACGGAGCGGCATAGGCTGGCAGCTTGAAGAGCTGTGTGCAGCTGGTAAATCTGTTGTGGTGGAAGGGAAGGGAAGGGACGTGGGGGGCAGATCAGTGCCCCCCGTGGTGAGGGAGGAGTGGGGCAGAGGCTCAGGCCGGTGCTGCCCAGCCGGGGCGGGGTGGGGGATGGGGACGCAGCTCATCTGGGGGCCATGGGAAGGGGAGGCGGTCTGCTCGCACTGCTGCACAAACCCTAGGAGGGCATAGGGGGGCAGTGTCCCTAGATCTACACAGGAGAGGGGGTGGGATGCCGCTGCAGGCTGGGGCTGGGGCTGTACCAGGCTCTTCCCAGCGCGTGGGGACTGTCTGGGGCTGTGGGGCTGTGCTCAGGGCTTCACTCCCAGTGTGTGGGGGCCATGCTGGAAGCTGTACTCGGGGTGAGCGATGGCGACACTGGGAGGGGGTGCTATGGAGAAATTTGGGGGGGCTGCAGCCCCCCCATTGTCCCCCTCCCC